AGTGTTGGGAAAATATAGGAAAATGGTCAGGGCCCCTTAGATATTCAGAGTCTTGCGAAGCATTTGATGTAAATATGCACGTGTGCCCAGGTGTTCCTTGGTTATTGTCTAATGTAATTGAGCATGTGCATCCAGGTATCCTGGGTTATGGCCTTAAGTATAGAGGATGACTGGCTCTGATCCATGGCCTCCCCCCCACTCCCTGGGACATCCCTGGGGGGGCCAGGGGGAGGCCGCTACGGCTGCTGGAGGCTGTTGCTGCAAGCTGTTGCTGCCAGTGCCTCCAGGATGCCCCAAGAGTCCACCACGGCTGCTGGACCTGTAAGCTGCTGCTGCCATTGCTGAGCACTGAGCTCGTGTCATCTGCCGAAGGCTCCCAGGATCTTTCCCCAATTATCTAGCATGTACCTGCATGTGAGTGGTCTGGTGACCAAGTCTGTACAATGGGTTTGAAAGGTCTGAACCCTGACAGTACAAATGGAAACTTAGTATAACTAAAATAACAAAACATTTTGGATTTAGTTATGATTTGCCTTACTCGACAACTGGCATAGTCGTGTAGCTTTACAGATAGCCACATAAATGAGTTAATAATGAATATTAGGCACCACCCCTCAGGAAGACCCTGCACGAGAAATGATATATTGTCATAGCTTAATAATTTGCTTTGCTAAAAAAATTATGCATGGTAAACAATAAAAAAATTACTAATATATCTTAAAGTGAATGTATGTTCTATAAAAAACCCTAAACAAGAGTGCTGCAATTACTTTCCTCAGTCTAACGAAGGGAGCCAAATCAAGCTAATTACTGTCAATAAATAAGATCCTGCAGCTACTTGGGGAATCAGTTATCTAATTAGTGAATTTTAACAAAAGCTGTTCCTTGCTGGGTAGGCTCAGCATTTCCTTGGCAGTAAAAGGAAACAGCTGTGCTGGTAGATCAGCCTACTGAAAACTAAACAAAACCCAAAAACAAAACTTCCTACCCAAAGTCTCTATTGCACATGTTGGGTCAGGGGTTCTCGGCTATGACTGCACATTAGAAGCACCAGGGAAGCCTTTTAAAAATGTTGATGCTTGGGTCCCATCCCAGAACAATTAAATTTGAATAACTGGGAGCTGAGGCCAGGCATCAATATTCTTTAAAGTCTCCCAATGTAATTCTAATATACTCAAGACATCAGAATAAAAACTTTCCTATGAAATAAAAATGCTGCCCCATGTTTTTAATAAACAAAAGATCATAAAAAATTAAGCAAAAAACCCCCCCAAGTGTCAAAGTAGTTGTGATCTCATTGGAATGGGGGAGTAGGGCTGTTTTTATATTCTTAGAAAAAGGCTTGAAGAATGTCACCAAAATTATAATTGTGGTTATTCCTGAGTGGTAGGATTATGAATGAGTTGTATTTTCTTCTTTTGCTTCCCTTTTCCAATCTACCTGCAACGAATGTGTATTGCTCATAAAAGAGAACTTCAATTAAAAACAAAAAGATAAAAGTGGACCTTACCTTCATTAAGCAAAAATAAGCTGTGATAAGGAATACTTTAGAGTGCAATGTAACCAGAAGGCAGAAGCCAAGATAAAATCATGTTGGAAGCAGCAGAAACAGGTTTTCCCTAAAGTAAATCAAGTTTAATGACAAATTTGAGAAGCATTCCTAGAACAGAGAATAAAAAAGCAATGAAAATGAGATAACAACACAAAGGTGTTAATCATAAAGAACTAATGAATAGTGTTTCTGAAGAAAAGAAATGGAACAGAGGTATTAAAGTTGTAGCAGATAACCTGCTCATCTAAAAAAAGAATCCTCCCCAAAGCAAAACAAACCTCCAGAATATTAAGAGATCAGGAAGACTCACATATTCCACGCAAAATTAACAAATGACATACACATCCTGGCTAAGTTTTAAAATTTCAAAGAAATAATAAACAGCACAGAGGAACAAGGGAAAAAGGAGAGGTTAAGAATGACAGCCAGCTAGAAAAAGAACAGCTGGATAAGAAAGCAAGAAAGATGAGTTGAGAAAAAAACTTCTGTAACCCAAATAGAAAAGGTTATCTAAAGAATAAAGTCCAAACTCTACTCAGATAGTAACTTTGTGAGGACAATGAAAAAAAATGGCCCAGTCATGATAGAAATGGACTGTGACCCAAGAATACTATACAGATTATTGAAGAATGAAGGCAAAGACAGAAATGGTCTCAGAAATGTTAACTACCCAGATACCTTTCCTGGTAAAGTCGCTCAGAGTTTTGAAATCAATGAAAACAGCTGGCCCCTGTTGAATGGTCTTTTTTTTCTAGGATTTCCTGTTCTCCCTCACCTGTTTGTTCTGTTTGCATTATGACAGTGGGGAAAAATATGTATATAAAAAATTATATACACACGTGTGTGTGTGCTGAAATTTCTTGTTCCCTTTATCATTGTGTGCTTCTTTATTCAAGGTCACTAAATTTCAGAACTATCTGCTTTACATATGTTAACTTACAATCATCCCAATAATCTTTGAAGATGGGTATCCCTGTTTTTACAGATGAGAAATTCAGTGACATGTCCAAGCTCCCAGAGCTAGAAAGCAGGGATCTGACACTTGCACTCAGGCAGTCTGGATCGCTTCAGTGATCTTAATCACTTTCCTATCTCAAGAATAGTGTTTTTTTTTTCCTTTTTGTCTTTTTTCGTGTCCGGCAACGGATCGCAACCCTCAGTGTCGCGCCCGTACCGGACCGGGACCGGCAACGGGATTGCAACCCTTGGCGTCGCGCCCGCACCTCGCTCAGCCAGTGAGTGGGAACCGGTCTGTTTGTGGGACCCGAACCCTCGGCGGGAGCGCCAACGGGCTCAAGCGGCACCGCGCTCTCAAGCAGCGCACTGTAGCAGTGCGCCACCAGGCCGGCCCTCGAGAATAGTGTTTTTATAAAGCTTATCCAAAAATTTCATCAATTGACCTTTCAATGTTATGCTTGCTGTAAGTGAAAGAAAACTTTGTACACTTGTACAAACTTTGTTAACAATATTTGCAAACTGCTTCTCCATCTTGAAAATATACCCTTTTTGTATCTGTTAATGTTATAAAAATATAGGAAGGTCCCAGTATTCTAATAACAGCAGAAGCTTTTTGTCAGAACTTTTATTCCTAGCTTCTTTTGAGCTAAACGAGGTTTGATGTGTAAGTACAAAATAGAGGAAGTATACCACCAACTTCTCAGAAAAAAGTAAAATTATGTCAGATCACCTCTGTTACGGTTAATCTTAAGAGTGATAAAATCATTAATAATTCCGACTACCACCTATAGTGTCTATCAGAAAGAGAGTAGTCTTTGTTGACAATTACTATTAATGTTGTTACTGTTCACCAAAACTGATTTCTCTATACACATTTTTACATCAACTGTGATGCATACTTAAGATAATCACACTAAATTTCACATGGAAGCAGATTTAAGGAATTAATTTTTTTACTTGATACAGTATTTAAAAAAAACAAAACCCTTATCCAGAAGCAAGTGTAACTCTATCACAATTTTAGTGTATATCTGATTGGGCAGCAACCTTCCACAAATATTCTTTTATGCAGTTAAGAAAATGTAATACTACCATTTCACAATATTTAGGACTTTGTTAAAAAAAAAAAAAAAAAAGACAGTAGTAAATTTCTCCAGTGCCAAGCAGCCAATATCTCTTGTTCTGGATGTCTGAAGTGTGCCAAAATCAAATTATAGCAATCAGATTCCAAGAAAGAGAGCCTAGACAAAATGTCACTTGGATTATTTCCTGTTTACTCATAGTCTGACAAGTCAACTAAGCGACTTGCAAGTGGGCTTCCTATTGTGACACTGTTCCATATTAATAGTGTCCAGAGAAAGACATTTAACATTTGCCTAAACACAACTTTTAAAAAATAAGAGCTAATGAGATATTTTCCTTCACTTAACACTCTTTGCAATCACTGTTCCATAGTTTTCTCCATACCTTTTAAACTTTAGGATTCTAAGAAAAAATTTTTCTAAGTTTCAAATTTATATAAAAGGTATTAGCTGACAAATACCTGAGGCATATTAAAAATTGATTTTGACATGCCTGAATTACAAGATGAATAATACTTCAGTACAGTTAGAAATTCAGAAGAAACATCTTCTATTTGACAAATTTTAGTACCACATGGACCAGTAACCTGTCAAAGTTGTTTGCATTGCTATGTGGGAATCAAAATTGTGTAGACTGAGTTATCTGGGTGAGAATCATTACAAATACACTGTCTTCAGGAAAGAAAGCAAAGCCCCTATGGGTGTTATTGTTTCTGCCACCAACCAATCTTAGAACTACATGTAATATATTGTAACCTAGTGTGTCGCTGACTTTGCTTCTATCTGTTCCTTTCTTTTTTTTTTTTCCTTTTTGTCTTTTTTCGTGACCGGCAATGGATCGCAACCCTCAGTGTTGTGCCCGTACCGGACCGGGACCGGCAACGGAATCACAACCCTCGGTGTTGCACCCGCACCTCGCTCAGCCAGTGAGTGGCCGGTCTGTATGTGGGATCCGAACCCGCAGCGGGAGCGCCACCGCACTCCCAAGCAGGGCACTGTAGCAGTGCGCCACCGGGCGGCCTCTGTCTTTCTTTTTAAGACAAGTTTAATAGGGATTCTCATAAAGAATAAGCTACAAGTAAAGCTGATTTCTTAATACAAGAAAACTTGCTCTGATGGGAAAATGTGACCAATAATGTTCAAATGAGAACTAAAGATGCAAAGCAGCATGTGCCTTTCCCACTTGGTTGTTTCTAATCCTCTGCCCTTTAACATTCTCTTCACCAGTTGAGCTGGCTGGCATGCAGATATTATTTGAGACATAAATATTACCCAAGTTTCCACCTTGGCATATTAATCTGAACAGTAAATCTGTGAAGTTTCTGAAACAAAATGACCACATTCACACTACAAAAACCCACCATCGTTAAGAGGAACAAGCAAATTAAATACCTATGTTACACAGATAATTTAAAGGTACACTCTCTTATATTCTTAATATATGAAATTGGTGGTATGTAGAAAATACATTTATGTTTATATTTAAATAAAGGATAATAAAAGACAAATCACAGCCAACTGTTAGAGATTTTTTTTTTTTTTTTTTTTTTTAAATTCTAGGGTACAATAAAATCAGTTCAGGGGCTTTTTCCTGAAAAAAATGACCCCATACTCTTTCCCGTAGCATGCTCATAAGCAATCGTCTAAGTCTAATCCGTGACATAAGATACTAAGTGGTGTCATTTTTCGCACTTGTGGCTTATAATTCCTAAGTGGTCAATATCTTGTATTTTCACTTCTGGGTAAGAGAAAACGCATTTTGGTCCATTAATTCACCCACTCGCTCCTGGAGGACATTAACCAACTCTGCTATAACGAAGACGTGAGTGTCATCAATGTCTTGAATGATGAATTTCTTCCCTAGGGCATTGGACTCATCCAAGTACAGCAGAAACTGCTTCATGGCAGGATCACTGTAGAGATGAACACACAATTATAGGACACCTTGTTGTCACATCACACCACAGAGACTTGAGCAATTAAATTTGAGCAAGTATAATTTTTAGTATGATTTTTAAAGTTCTGAACTGTTACTTAATCCTTCCTCTCTGCCTCAAGTGTTAACCATTTATAGATATGGCTTCATTTTAGAATTGTTACTGCAAGTTTAAGAGAAAGGGGCCAATGGTAATATTTGTAAAGAATAATTTGTCACTGACAAGTGAAAAAATAAAATATTCAAAGCTCTGCAGTTAATACGTCCCTGTTTGATTTAAAAAACCAACATCCTTACTTTTCCATGACCACTACGTTTAAGAAACCAATAACTGTTCAGTATCTTGCCAGTGACAAATTAACTTCCAAAGCCAGTTAAATAGCTACTTTGATAAGACAGGATATATAGCAAGAGTCAGTTCTGGATTCAACTCTAGCTTTATCATTTACTGTGTGACCCAGAATATGTACTTATCTCCCAGAGCCTCTGTTACCAACTATAAAAGTGAGCCTATGTGAAAGAACAGTGTTTGGCCTGCAGTAGGTACTCAAGTTTTTTTCCTTCCTTAAAATTCTGAACTCAATTAGCCTTAACTATTTATTGTTCAGAATCTTTGAAGAAAATTCTGACAAAACTGCTTTGAGAATACTGAGCTTAAAGAAGAGATCCAAATTAAATTCTATTTACTTGTAGTTTTTAGTTTGGAATGAATAAGGCAGTCATAAGAAAAAGAAATACAATTTCTTGGTGGGCAGTACAGATTTACAGCAATATGTCTCTTTCATAAAAATCCTGAATCATGACAAAGGACACTCTTTAGATCTGATATACAATAACGTGTTTAGCAAAAAAATAAAAAAATTGTCAAATTACATACAGATTTTTGTAATTCTTAGAGAAAACATAATCTTACATAATATTTTGGTGTCTTCAGGAAAGTCAACATCAATTACCAAGATAACAATTTAATCCAAGAGATCAGTGTCATTTACTGAAGGCAATAGTTTGGGCCGGCCCGGTGGCGCACTGGAGTGCGCCACTTGGGAGCGCAGTGGCGCTCCCACCGAGGGTTCAGATCCCATGTGGAGACTGGTTCCTGCTCACTGGTTGAGCGCGGTGTGGGCGCGACACTGAGGGTTGCGATCCCGTTGCCGGTCAGTAAAAAAAAAAAAAAAGACAAAAAAAGGAAAGCAATAGTTTAACTTCTTTTATGTACAAACATAGGTATTAAGTGAACTCACAAAATAAATAATTTATTTCAATCACTAAATGAGTATAAGCCTTGTTGATGATTTTGGGGACTTTGGTTTTCACCCAGAACATGATTTAACTTAAAAACTGACTTAAATTTTAAATGTAAGGATCATACTGGCTGCTGGGTTGCAAAAAGCGAGTGGCAGAGGCAAGGGTAGAAACAGACCAATTAGGTGAATTCTGTAATCCAGGCAGTAGAGAATGATGATTTGGACGTAGGTGGTGACAGTGGAGATGATGTTGAATTCTAGATATATGCTGACATAAATTTGCTGAGACTAGACACGAACTTTGAGAGGAACCAAGGAGACTCTAGATTTTTGGTCTGAACAAATAGAAGGATGGAGCTGTCTTTTACTGAGATGAGGAGGAATGTGGGAAAAACAGGTTTGCAGGTAAGATCAAGAGTTTGGTCTTAGGCATGTTATATTTGAGATGCCTACTGACACCCAAGTGAACAAGCTGAGTAGGAAGTTGAATATACAACTCTGGGATTTAGCAGTGATGAGTAAAATTCAGTCAGCAATGTATAAATGGTATTTAAAACCACAACAAGAGTCCAAGGACCAAGCTATGGACACCCCAACATCAAAAAGTCAGGAAGAAAAGGAGGAACCGGCAAAGGAGATTATGAAGGAATGATTAGCAAGGTAGAAAGAAAGCATGAACAGTCCTGGAAGCTTATGTGAACAAAAGTACTCAGGAAGAGGAAGTGATCAATCGTGTCAAATGCCACTAAATAGGCATGGTAAGAGAAGAACTGAGAATTGACCACCGGATTCAGAACGTTACTTGACCTTGACAAGAGCAGTTTTGGTAGAGTCATAGGGGAGAAAGCCTAACTGCAGGGGGTTTCAGAATTGGAGGAGAGAAATTACAGAAAGTGAACAGAAACAAGTCTTCCCAGAAATTTTGCTACAATGAGCAGAGAACTAGAGTGGAAGCTGAAAAGAGATGTGGGAATCTGAAAAGGTGGGAGGATCAACAGATTGTAGGTCTGATGGAGTTGATGAAATTATAGAGTGAGGGTATTAGAGGAAGAGAACTGGAAAGAAGAGGTGGGTCAGAGTTAGATGCCTGAAAACAAGACAGCAGTGTTGGTAAGGACAGGTCCAGGTGGGACTGTAGGAATAAGTGACTGTGACGCAGTGCAGGATGAGATCATTGGAAAAGGTCAGGAAACTGAGGACAGGGTATGGAAAGGATTACCCACATGGATATTGACACTGCTAAGAATTTGAGAAGATAGCTACTGAAGAGCAACAGGTAGCCGTCAAGGAGAAACCTTCAGGTAAGATTTGGGTGTTTGTAGATGATTATAAAGAGGGGTGTTAGTGGGTGGTTTACTCTGATGATCTGAAATTCAGAACTATGTGTTTCTATGGAAGAGGGAGGGAGAATTTCTGGAAGCGGCAATGAGAAACAAGGTAGATGCCTATTCTATTTCCTGGCCCAATGACACGAGAAGTATTAAAAGAAAAAAGTCACCACTTGATAGGGTTGTGGGCAAAGCAGTGTGCTTGGGAGAAAGACAGGTTTCGTTAGCACAAAAAGGAAAAGGTGGGTGGGGAAGGAAAAGGGAATGTTTAGAGAAGAGGCAGAGGATAGAGGGGATTCTGTTTCTGGTATCTCATATATCACTGATAATTAGAGGGCAGAGTGGAAAAGATTGGGGTTAGGGGTGAGTAGAAGATGGAATTTAAAAAGCAGATGAATAGAGCCATAAGTTGAGAGTCCAGAGCATGAGGGATGGCTTGGGAGTCTGTGGCTTTCTGGCTGACTGAAAAACAAGAACAGTAGGCATAAAGAGCATAATGAGAATGAGGGTCTCAAGGCAGACAGTGATGTGAGACTGAAAGGCAGCAACAGGTGACGGATGGGAGAGAGAATGGGGTGTTTGACAGCATAATATTGAGTCACAGATTTAAGCAAATACAGAAAAAGTTAAATTTCACATTTTTAGCAATTCCCTAATTTTGGCAATTACACAGAATAAAAATTTAAATGAAAAAAATTTAAAGCAGTAACATACTGAGGTAAACAATTTATCAATTATTAACAAAGAACACTGGAAGAAGAGGCCCATAGGACAGGGAAACCAAAGTTTCAGCTTCTCTAAAACTATTGTTTTCCTGCTCAGACTCTGTAAAAAAAACAAAACAACTCAGTCATTTCCCTAAACTTTGCCTTGCCTATACAAATAAAGAGGGGACTAAAAGGAGAGCAATCTGAGAGTACGCAGCTGGCTGGGGGAGGGTGGGAGGAGGCAGAAAAAATCCTCAGCTTTAGTGCTCTACAGTTGCTTCCACCCTTCCCTGCAAACAAGGGACAAGGGAGGACTCACATGGGGACCTTGATGCTCACTTCACCCTCCAGGCCCCACAAAGAGCTCAATAGGGTCTATAAAAATCATATATTCAGAGGTTTCTTAGAAGGATACACTTTACACAATTGGATGAACAACTGTTTTAAAATAAACTTCTGGTCCAAATGTAATATAGTGATTAGGACAAACAGGACATTACAGAATTACTGTCCAAATGTAATATACTATCTTGTTATTGTTTGCACTCAGTGCATTTACAGGTGACACCCGTTTACTCTCAGTAACTGACTCCTACTAAGAGGTATTAAAGGTAGCGAAGGTTAAGTGTTTATGAAGACTAATATCTCTAGAAAGTTTCTAAATGGGATAAACTTACATCACTTCAATGAAGTAAAAGCTAAACCACTGAAACCAAGTGCCAAAGGACTCACCTCTGTGCTGAATCATCACCCCAGTGCTTTCAAAATTTCTGCCATTTGCACACTATCCTTGCTATTTTAGCCATCTCCTGTAACACCTCCATTGCAAATCACTTAAGATCTTTCTTTAAATTGTCTTTAAATCGACTAACTTTTAACTTTAACTTCATCTGGGATAATATCAAGAGTCTGATGTGTTAGTTTTATTTTTTTCTCAAATAAATTAATCCGGTCAAGTAAAAAATATTTTTGTGTTCTATCCCCCAAAATGTGTGTTGTTCTTCAAATCCTCCTGAACACCGATGGTGTTCATTCCCCATATCTGGAGAAGTACTGTTAGTTGACAAATGAGATAGCTTAGAAGAATGACTGGCTAGTGAGACACTGAAATAACTATAATAACAATCACCTCTATTAAACTTTCGAAAGGAGATGGAAAGCAGTCATTTTGAGACTGAGTTCTCAAGCATGTACCTGAAATATAATCTGTAATAATTCAAAAAAGACTATACAAAAAAAAAAGAAAAAGAAAAAAAAACTTAAAGTTTAAGGGACATTTTGTTATGAAACGTGGAGGTGTGACATATTCTTGTCTGAACACAGCGCTATTCCACTTCCACATGGAGGGAGGCTCTGGGAGAACCTGCTGGCAAGAACAATAAACTCAAAAAACCAAGTGCTCATATACATACTTGGTTGCAGTCCAGAGATCAGGGCTGTTGAGCAAGAAAAAATGTCTTTTTCCTGGAAATGTGCAGGGCATATATCAGGAACCAACCTCCTCCTAAAGAACCTCAGTATAGCTCCTACATAATATGATTCTGGAAAGTATTACACCATAATGGGTCTACCAGGATGACGTAATTAGCTGTAAAACAGACACAAAGTTAACTGATCAATGCTGTTAGCACTGTCCATCCCACCAGAATAATAATCTTGGCTTAGTCAATGGTAAACTATCCTTTGATAATAATCAGC